GCGTGCTCGTGCGGTGGCTTTTTTGCTTCCTTCTCCAACCAGGCATGTGTTGCTGTTGTTGTTCCCCTTCCTTGTTGTTGCTTGGGGCTGCATGTCGGTTGATGTCATGTCACTTTTTCCGCAAGCGAAACGCAGGTCTCTGCTGTTCTAGATGTGGTTGCCGCCCTTGCTTCTGTCCTTCTGCGCTTGTGCCCTTCCCTTTTTGATGCTTTGCGTGCTCCTCCTCCCGCTGGCTTATGTGTGTGTGCTTGTGTGTGTTGTTTGTTGATCTTGTGTGTGCTTGTTGATCTTGTGTTATGACAGTGACATCCATTTCCCAAGTACAATTCATCTCACGATCACCCACCCAATATCACTCACATCTCACACGCATCTCGCTCATCGCACGTTTCTTGGCGTGCTTGCCGTGCTTGCTCTGGTGCACTTCCTCGTGTTTTTTATGGACAACCACGATACCACCATCAACAGCTGAGCCGGACACGCACGCAAACCACCATTGCCAACACACACTCACACAGCACCACGCACTGTTGTTTTGAAAATCAGCAACACTTGGTGGTAAGCTGTCATTCACTCCAATCGTTTTGTATCCCAGCTGCACCCTCACAGTGCGTGTGTCCTGTGCTCGTCTATGCGTCTGCTTGTGCGTGTGTGTGTGTGTGTGTGTGTGTGCGTGTGTGTGTGTGTGTGCGTGTGTGTGTGTGTCTGTGTGTGTATGTGTGCGTGTGTGTGCACCCTGCTCTCTCTCTCTCTCTCTCCTCCTCTCCTCCTTTCTTTCCCTCTCCATCTCCGTCGGCACTGTGGTGTCCGCTTTGTTTTGGTGTGCGTGCATGCGTCTGCGCGCACACTGATCGCTCGATCGGTTGCTTGGCTTTCGATGCGCCAACAACTCGTATCAGTGTGTGTGCGATCGGTTGAGTTTTGAAGTTTGCTTCGAGCAGGATGGGGCGTGAGCAACGCTGTTGTCCCTCGTCCGCGACTTACCGATCCTCTTGGTCATGGCCGAGCCTCTGTGTCCTGGCTTCCATCGTCGCTTCTTTGTGCTTCTCCGCCTACGTATTGCCACCGTCTGCATTCGTGTGTGTGTGTGTGTGTGTGCGTTGGGTGTGTTGGGCTGACTTGCTCCCCACCTCACCCCACTTGTGTTCGTTTGTTGCACGCCACGATGAGTGCTTCTATTTGACTTCTTGGCGTTCCCGAAGGTGGTTGGTAATGTTTTGTTTCCAGGCTGGCTTCGCCACCCTCTCCTCCACTCTCTTTGTCCTCCGACTCTCTTCACTTCCAGCGCTCGCCCTTGAATCACATGCACACGTGCATGTGGTGTATGTGTGTGTGTGCGTGGTGCGTGTGTGGTGTGGCTCGCTTTTCTTCAAGCTTTGCCTCATCTTGTTTCGTTGTGCACTGCATGCACATTGTTGGCGCATGACACTTGCAGTGCTCGTGCTTGGTTGCTGCCGTCACATCACCTTGTCAGTGAAGCTGTTTCTTTGTTGGTTGCGTGACGGCGTGTCTCATCCCCCATCTTTTCCCCCTCCTTACCCGTTTCCCTTGACATTCACCGCAATCTTCCACGCATTTTGAGCCAACACCCTCCTCTCTTTTTGAATGAATGGCTCTCGCTGACACGCACACGGCTATCCTAGCTCTCGCATATCACGCACCATTTTCCCTTTTGCCCCTGTAACTCTCCACAGCTTCCTTCCCTTCACTGCTCTCCTCCCTCCCCCCCCCCCCTTTCTTCTTCACCGCCATCGCAAACTCCACTGCAAACACCCGTTTCAAACGCCTCATCTCATCCACGCACCGTCTCCCCATTGTTGCGCTTCGATCGCGTGGCGTGTACTCCCTTTCTCATTGTCTCCACCCTTCCCTCCCTGGCCTTACTCCCACACCAACCAACACAAATCTTGGTTTGGTTCGTGCTTTGCGCTTTGCCTGCAGGCACGGGCAACCGCGCGTGTGCACCCACCCAACACAGGACCCCCAACCAACAGTTGCGAACACAGGACACGCGACACCCAGGCCGGTGCAGGCGGTGATCCCCTCCCGCCCTTCTTCCGAGCGAGTAGCAAGACCCCGCACGCTGTGACACTCAGCAGCTGCTGTCATTGCTGTCTCTGCTGCTTCTGTTGTTCCTCCAGCCCAAGTCCATTCAAGTAGGTATTCCCTCCTTTGTCTTCTCCTGTCCTTTGTTGGTGGTTGACTCCTCAACAACCCATTGGAGCCTTGGCTCTGGGCGTGCGTTCTTGTGCAGGCAAACAACACCACACGCCTCCACTTTTTCGATTTTCCGTTTGCTTGCACCTTCCAACTCCTGGTTTTTGGTTTTGACCCTCACTTGTTTCCCTCTCTCTGCTTCGTCTCTTTGTCCCACCAGCACAGACTCTCAACCCCGACTCCCCTCCCAAACAAACATCTTCAACCTCCCTCCCTCGTCGGTGACTTCTGATCTCCATTTTCTCTGCCTCCTCGAAGCAAGCATCTGTCCACGGGCCTCACGAGCCTCCGCCCGCCGCGCAGCCGCGTTGGGATTCCAAGAACATCGCCAGCTCCATCGCAGCGCTCAGTACGGACATGGGGGACAGACACGCCCCTGACCAGTTCCACCTCGCAAACGTGGGCGAGCAGGGACAGCAACAGCAACAACTGCAACAACAGCAACAGCGGCAGCTGCAACGACGTCAGCAACAAGAAGGGCAGCAACAACACCAGCCACAACACCAGCCACAACAACAACAACAACTGCCACAACAACCACAGCTGCAACCACAACAACAACAACAACAACTGCCACAACAACCACAGCTGCAACCACAACAACTGCCACAACAACCACAATTGCAACAACAGGAGCAGCAACAGCAGCAGCAGTGCGCAGGGCCACCCCCAGGATGTGCTGATCTGCGAACTGTGAGGGCTGTGTTTGGTGCCTGGCTCGGTGGTCAGTTGCACGACACTGTTGCATCATGGATGGTGCCGCACTGCTGTCGCGTCCTGCTCAATCACTTTTCGCAACAGCAACAGCCGCAGGCCCAACCAGGTGATGGTGCCGGCTACTTGTCCGAAGCGGGTGCGGTTTTACAAGCATTTGTGCAATTCCAGCAACAACCAACACCGCCGCAACAACAACAGCTGCAGCAGCGCGACCAGCCGCCGGAAGCAATGGTACAGCAGCTGCTGCGGTTTCTTGAGGATCGGCATCAGCCACAGCCGCAACAGCCGCCTTCATACCTCGAACAACAACAACAACAACAACAACAACAACAACAACAACAACAACAACAACAACAACAACAACAACAACAACAACAACAACAACAACAACCCAGCCATACATCGCCTTCGCAGCCACCCATGACACCTGGGAGCCCGTCAGCATGGCTCAGCCAGGACATTGGATCGCCGTCGTTGTTCCGCATGCCACTGTCGCCATCAGCGGTGCTGGATCCATTTCGGCGCGCCTCGCATGACGTGTGGTCGCTTCCACCCACGCCTGGCACCACGCACCCGCCACATCCGCCCCACACGTCGTCCACACTCTCGGGCGTGGTGACGGCACAGTCCCAGCCAATGTACGACGATAGCAACATGCCAACCCCCAGCGCCCGCGCTCACGACCGCCAACGCCAACCTGAACACGTTCAGTACCACCAACAGCAGCAACATGTAGGCGATTTCACACAACAGCAACAACAGCAACAACAGCAACAACAGCAACAACAGCAACTGCATGCCCACGTGGAGCACGGTCAGCCTGCCGGTTCGGGCTGGTCTGTTGCGTCTGCGGGCATGCAGTATGTCTCGACATCTACGTTGTCGTGCATGCCTGCAGGCAACCCAACGCCCAACCAAGAGCAGCTCCTGCTGCAGCAACAACTGCGTGAGGAGCAGGAGCAGATGCGGCTTCACGGCGGCGGTGCAGACTCGGGCGTTGGCGTGGACGCATCCGTGCACGCCGATGGCACAGGCCAAGATGAGCCACCAGCGAAGCGACCTTTTCTCACAGAGGCAGCAGAACTGCAACACCAGCTGACGCAGCAACAGCAACAGCAGCACTTGCAACCACACTTGCAGCAACAACCACACTTGCAGCAACAACCACAACTGCAGCAACCAGGAAATGGGATTCCTCCACCCACTGCCCCGCCCCCACCTGCAGCCATGCTCGGGAATGGGCATGTTGATCCAGTCGCCCTGCTTTCCATGCTGCAAACCTCCGCACCAGGCGACACCTCCGCTCCAACACCGGCAGCTGCGGCGGCAGCCAGGTTGCATGCAGGCAACGCCACCAGCGCGCTGCGCCACGGTGCATATGGACAGGTGCCTGGGGCCAGCATGCCCTTGACGGACATGGGCGTGGCTGGTCCTGTCGGCAACAGCTTTGGGTTCTTCACCCAGCACCAGCAGCGCATGCCTGCAGGCAGCAATCCAGATGATACCACGTCCTCTCAACACGTCTGCCCTATCTGCGAAGGTCCTGGTCGAAACTCTGCATCAAAGTAGGTTTCGAATTGTGGCGGCTGTGTGTGTCTGTGTGTGTGTGTGTGTGTGTTTGTGTGTGTGTGCTTGTGTGCTTGTGTGCGTGTGTGCTTGTGTGTGTGTTGTGTGTGTGTGTGTGTGTGTGTGTGTGTGTGTGTGTGTGTGTGTGTGTGTGTGTGCTTGCGCACCATCTCACGATTATTTGTCACCCTGCTCACAATTGCAGGATCTGCAACAAGTGCTTTGGCGGCTTGCACAATGACATTCGCAAATGGTCACGTGGCATCCGTGAAGGCAACGTCGTTGTTCCTGCCTCTCCCTCCGACCTCACAGTCAATGATTTCGAGCGCGGTAAGCCCACAGAGTTTATGTGTGTGTGTGTGTGTGTGTGTGTGTGTGTGTGTGTGTGTGTGTGTGTGTGTGTGTGTTTCTGTCTGTTTGTTTGACTGCCGCTTGTTGTGCGTGCGGGGGGGGGCATTCGGTTCTATGCAAGTACCTCATCAGCGCCGTGTTGTCCACCACATTCCCCCTTGAATCAGCGTTGATGCACTATATCCCACGGGGATGCAAGTCCGGAACCAACGCTTGTCCGCCCTCAGCCTACCACACCTCTGTGCCATCAAGTATGCGATCCAATGGTTGACATGAACGCCTGGTTTTGCCGTGTTGTGATGTGTGAGTGTGTGTGTTTGCTGCTTGTCTTGTTATGATGTACGTGTGTGTGTGTGCGTGCGTGTGTGTGTGTGTGTGCTGTGCTGTGCAAGTTCGCTGTCGTACGCCGCACTCTCTGCACTAGACATCCCTGACATGCCTTGCTTTTTTGTCTCTGATGTGTTTCTTTACTTTTCACCAACAAGATGAGATTTGCACGCGCTGCCGCACTCTTGCCATCTGCTCCCGGTTTTCACACGAAGTGCAGTCACGTGAGCGCTCGCTGTGTGTGCGTGTGTGTGTGTGTTTGTGTGTGTGTGTGTGTGTGTGTGTGTGTGTGTGTGTGTGTGTGTGTGTGTGTGTGTGTGTGTGTGTGTGTGTGTTTGTGTGTTTGTGTGTTTTGTGCATGTCCTCTCGTGCCGGCTGATCTGTTCCACCCCGCCCTCTTGTCTGCACACACACACGCACTCAACGCACATCTCACTTCTTGCTTTGTTGCCCTGCAGGCATCCAAACCGCTCTGACGCAGATGTACAACAGAGGCGAAGTGAGGCAGCCTCCCACCACGGGCGCGGACCAGTTTCACCAGCGGTAGCAGTGCTTTTCATCGTCCTCCATGCGCCATTCGCCATTCGCCATTCCCCTCATTCTCTCTCCACTCCACTGCGACAGCGTGTGCTTGATTTGATGGCTGGCAAAGAAAGCAGAAGCACCTGCTGGGCAGACTGCTGCTTTTGCCATTGGCCCCTGCGTGCCTTTATTCGATTATGTTTGTGATCACGTCATGTTACAAAGCACATGAGTGCATCTCATCTTCTTCCCCGCCCTTGTGCCCGCTGCTTGCTGCTTGCTGCCTGCTGATTATTGATTGTTCTTGCGTGCACGCCGTGGGCTGGCCACGTGCTGAGCAGCGTTTTACCACCTATCCCCGTTATCCGCTTGCTTGTCTGTCCGTCGTTGCATTCTGTTGTCTTACTTTATGTTGCACGCTGTTTTTTCGTTTTGTGGTTTTGCGCTTTGGTTTGCGTGTTTTCCTTCTTCTTTCGTTCTTGATTCATCCCTAACAGCTGAACCACGAGCGGGCCCCTTTTGCCCTTTGTTACACTACCCTCCCCAACGTCGGGTTCCGTTGTCTCCTGCTTGCAGCTTCAAGCAACCAGGTGTTTCTGTGCTTCTTCCAATTTCTTGTCTTCGTTGATCTTCTCCTCTCTTCCCTGAACTGTTCAGCCATGGACAGGTTGATGTTGGTTGCGTGTTCATACACTTTCAACCTAACTGTCGGTGTGTTTTTACCACGCCTCATGCTTGGTTGCTTGGTTGCCGTGCCACCAGCAACAGTTGCTTGCTTCCTTCTTGCCTTTTGTCACATTATTTTTTTTGCTTGCACTTTGGGAGCAAGATGCAGGTCCGTTGCGAATGGTGTTGTCAACAGCGCTCTTGCTTGCTTGCTTGCTTGCTTCAGTCTCATATTTGATGCGCGCGCGTTTCGCAGCGCAGTGTCTTGCTCACGGCACAACTGTTGACGACATGATAAATTACATCCCTCCAACCCAGCACGACACACGACATACAAAAATATGGTGTGGAAAGGAACAGCAGCCACGCAAAAACACAAACAACGCACACGACGACTTTACACACCGCAATCGTCATCCTCCACAGCTCCAACTCCAACGAAGCAAACCACAGCGGTTGCTGTTGCTTGCATGCTTGTTGCTCTGTTGTACTTTGACGGCTGCACATTGACTCCGGGATGAGCCAGATACAGTACAAGCCGCCCAAGATCCACGACACCTGCCCCACGTGTGCGGGCAAGGGCAAGATCAGGCGCAACGGTAAAGCCGCAAGGGAGCAGGATGTGGCGATGAAGGTGTTGACTGCGTTGGTGGTATTGATGGTGCCTGAACATGAAGCGCACAACCTTCCTTTCACGCTCGCTACACCTGCACACACACACACACACACACACACACAGATGAGTGCGTGAAGCCGAATGAGCTCGTGGCGCTCATTCCATACAGCGACCAGCGATTGAAGCCGAGACGAACGTTAGTTGCTGGTTGCATTGATACACGCGCACACGTGTTTGAAGCTGTGTGTGTGTGTGTGTGTGTGTGTGTGTGTGTGTGTGTGTGTGTGTGTGTGTGTGAGGGTTGTTGGGGTGTCGTTGTCGTTTCTCTCCTGCACTGATGCTGTTGTCGTCGCTTTTCTTGTGTGGAAACAGGCGGCTCATCATCGGGGTGAGCATCCTGCTCACGCTCGCCGTGGTCTTCTGCATCGTTTTCTTCATCTTCCCTCGCCCCATCAGCGTCAAGTGCGTTGACTGTGGTGATGTGTGTGTGTGTGTGTGTGTGTGTGTGTGTGTGTGTG